TTTTTTTTTTCCATTTGGCTTATATGGGGTGTTTTGAGAACTTCCACAAAAGATAATTTTTAACTTTTTTACACACAAAAAATTACAAAAAAAAGCCAACTCTTTTAACACAAAAAGCCCAAAAATCACAAAAAATAATTTAAAAAATATTTTTTTACCAATTTCTCAAAACACAACATGTTTGTATGACGCTTTAGTCTTGTTTCTATGTTGTTGTTTTAATATAAATATTTTCCAAGTCAGAAATAAATAAAATTAAAAAAAAAAAAAAAACCCTTACCTCTTGGAGAAGTTGAAAGAAGACAGAACTCTGGATGTTGAATATCTTGCTTAAAGATGGAGAGCAAACCCAGATAGACCACTCTCTTTCGTAATTACTTTATAGCTACTAGAAAATGGGAAAAAAATAAAAAATTGCACATGTCAGTACTATCATTTTCTCTCATTGAATAATAGTAGATGAAGTCATTTTCAGCTCTTTTAATACTTCTATTTTTTGGGTATTGAGAGCGAGAGAGTTCTAGAGACTGGAAAGAAGGGTACTATAATAAAGGAAAGGATGACGTCATTGATTACGTATGACTGGAGACGTACTTATCTGATGTCGGTGGGGTTGGGTGCTGTTTGGAGGGAGTCCGAATCCCCTCCTTACAAGCCCTCCTTGTAATAGTCGTTGCATATCCAATGGCCATAAAAAAAATAAAAATAAATAAATAAATTGAATTTTCACTTTCCCGCTTTGCTATATAGGTTATACAGTGTATACACTTCACTCTCACTCTCAATCTCCCTCACTCTTACACTCACTTCTCCTGCACCAAACCTAGCCTCACCGGCGACCACTCCCGACAGCAACCCACTCGTAAACCCAACCCACCGCTGTAGCCCTCTTTTTCTCTGCTTGGACCATAGCTCCACCGCGACCACCATCGGCTGGAGCGAAGGAATTTGTTGAGGAGAACGTGGGTTTTCAGGCCATAAATGAACCAGGTTCGTCCTCGAAACACTGAAATCAAAAGGTTAGGGTTGTGATTGATAAAATAGATTTGAAATTTGAAAATTAGGGCTTTCAAAATTACTCTTATGCAGATTGATAAATAGTATAATTGGAACATATTGTGAGGAACATATATGCATTTCGGAGCCAAATTATGCAGATTGATAAATAGTGGAACATATATCATTAAAATGTGGAACTACAGTAGCTAAATTTTGAAATCATATATGCATATTGTGGAATCATAATTATGCAGATTGATAAATAGTATGATTGATAAATAGTATGATTATGCCAATTGATAACATGGAATCATAATTATGTAGATTGATAATTATCAAGATGTATAATTTTGTGTAACATGTGTGATTGATAATTGAATTGACATTGAACTGCTATGTTTGTAAAACTGCATATGAATTGACATTAAACTGCTATGTTTGTTCAGTTTGAAATTGCTATGTGTGTTCAAATGACTGAAGAAAATGACCTTTGTTCAGTCTTAATCACAAATGCTATATTTGAAACTGAAGAAAATGACTGACATTGAACTGCCATGTTTGTTCAAATGCTATTAATAGTTTAGTCTGTGTAACCTCTGTTCAAATGCTATTAAACATGGCAGTTTGAAAAAATATAATGTTAACAGTAATGACATACACTCTGTCCCTCAAATTCAAATAGAATTGTTATTAACCCTATCAAACACAAGCATAGCATTAGCAACATAGAATTTTATTATGGAACATAACATTATGGAATATACACAAATAGATGTTTCTCATGTATGCAGATTTAAAAAATGGCTTCTTCTTCTAACATTAACAACATAAGATTACTACCGAGGCTGTGCAATTGTGGAAGAACCGCTGCCATATATATTGTAAGAACCAATGAGAATGGAAATCAAGGGCGTTTGTTCTTTGTTTGCCCATCAAAATATGTAAGTATGTATTGGAAATTTTAATCCTTCAGTAGTCACATTAATATTTGTCTTATTCAACTAACTGATTGTCATGCATTGTAGAGTAACACTCCCACTCCCCATTGCAATTACTTCAAGTTCGTGGATGAAGATGATGAAGGCGTTACGTCCAGAATCCGTTCCAACACTAGAGCTTGTGATGCTATAACAATAGAAGACTTTAATGATGTAAGGATGAGGCTTCATGACATGGAAAATGACTATGGTCAAAGGCTTGAAAGGATAAAAAATAACATCAAAGGGATGGTGTATTTCATTGTATTTTCTATCATTTTGTACTTTATCATGTAACTTTTGTACTTTATTGTATTTTGAGAAATTGAATAAAAGTTTCTACCATTTTTGGTTGTATTGTACTTCATGATGTAACTTATGTTTATGGAATAAATGTTATTATGATGTAACTTATGTAACTTATGTAACTTACTTAATAGCTTTTTGGAATGAATTTTATTATGGAATGAATGTATGGAATGAGTTTTATAAGTTATTATGATGTAACTTAGAATTTTATTATGGAATGAAATTTGGGAAACATTGGTCTCATTGTTAGAGTTTTGTGGATGCTATTTGGCAAATCTGTGGATGAATTTTGTGGATGCTATGTGGATGAATTTTGTGGATGCTTTGTGGATGAATGAATTTTGTAGATGCTTTATCACTTATCTGTGGCCTGTTATCTGTTGCAGGTTTTGTTATTTTGGTGAATGAATTTTGATTATAATGAACAACTTCTGTTATCTGTTGTAGGTTTGTTTCTAATGAACAGATTTGGCAGATCTGTTATATGTCAACTAGTATCTGTTTGTCACTTATCTGTGGCCTCAAATATTATCTGTTAGCAAGTTTAAAGCAGATTTGACAGATCTGTGGATGTTGTTTGTTGATGCTTTGGTTCTAATGAACAAGTTCTATTATCTGTTAAAGATTTGTTTGGTATCAAAATTGCATCTGTATTGCATCAAAATTGTATCTGTATTGCATCAAATTGCATTTGTATTGCATCAAATTGCATCTGTTATCTATTGCAGATCTGTTTGGCAGATTTGTTGCAGATATGTAACTGCTGCTATTTAGCAGATATGTGACTCCTATTTGGCATCTAAACAAAATTGAACATCACCCAAGCATGTAAACAAAATTGCATGAACTGGCAGATCTGTTTGGCATCAAAATTGCATCTGTATTTCATCAGAATTGTAGCAAATTGCATGTAAACAAAATTGCATCCACATGTAAGTTATTTGGCAGATCTGTTGCAGATCTGTGGCTGCTATTTGGCATCTAAACAAAAGTGAACATCACCCAAACATCTAAACAAAATTGCATCAACTGGCAAATATGTTTGGCGTCAAAATTGCATCTAAACAAAATTGCACCCAAGCATCTATTTGGCAGATTTGTTGCAGATTTGTGTACTTGTTCTTTCACACAAGAAAATCTGTGGATGCTATTTGGCAGATCTGTTGCAAATCTATGTACCTATTCTTTCACACAAAACAAAATCTAAAAATTTGAACACACACATTGGTCCATTTGAAAATCAATCAGAAGAAAATGAAATATAACATCAAGTGTAAATTAACATCAAGTGAAGTTTGCTCACATTGGTCCATCTAAATTAACACATTGGTCCACACATACAAGCCATTAACATACAAGCCATTAACATTTGAACACACAGGTACACAGAATTTTCCAGTAAGCCATTACTTCACAAGCCATTTGAACACACATACAAGCCATTACTTGACTTTCCAGCAACAACACAATTTGAACACACATACAACAGTAGTTTGAACACACATTTTGAACATAATTTGAACACACATACAGCAGCGGTTTGAACATCACTTTGAACATCACTTTCCAGCCAATTTGAACACTTTGAACACACAATTTGAACATCACTTTCTAGCTAGCAAGCCATTTGAACACACATACAAACCATTACTTCACTTTCCAGCAACATCACAATTTGTGCAGTAACATCACTTTCCAACAGCAGTTTGCTTCACAATTTGAGCTGCTATGACTTCACTTTCCATGCCAATTTCAGCTTCAGTTTGCTTCTCTTTCTGCTTGTCCATAGCCTAAAATGGAAAAAGACAGAATTTTCCACAATTTTCAGCAGCTAAATACATACTTTAAAATGAATTTTCGGCAAGTAAATACATGTTCTAACAAAATTTTCAGTAAGTAAAAAGCAAGAATTTTCAGCAACTACAAATTAAAAAGGCAGCAAGGACGAACCTGACTACACATTGGACTGTTTGATTCTTGAGAATATCGAAACTCAATGTCATATCCACATGAACCTTGAAGTAGTGACTGGAATGTTGGTTGCGCAGAATACCATTGAGGCATTGAATTTGGCAAAGAATTTGGCACTACATACATATCCCGCAAATTGTTCGCCTACAACAATGTCATATATTAGGCTTTGCAATCATGGTTTGAGTCACATATTATATCTACACAAAAAATACAATGTTAAAGTAACACTTACATGATATGTGGGATACATCAATGGTGGAGGAATAGAATTACCACCCATGGGCAAAGATGGAGGAAGAGGATGAAGGAGAGGAAGAGGTTGAAGAGGAGGAACATGTTGACGAACATAGATATCTCCTCAAACAGATAATGGAGAAGGTACAACTGTTGGACTTGCAATAGATTGTGATGAAGCCAAGCTGTTAGCATGGGATTTTTTTTTGGAGTTCGCTACCAATGCCGCTTCGAATCCACCTTTTACCCTCATTTTGCCCTACTAGTTGCCACATTTTTCTTCAATCCTTTTGGTTGCATAACATGATTCATATCTTCGCAATCCATTTCAAAGCTTTGGGTGTCATCATCATTACTTACTTCATTTCCAACACCAAAATGAGCACTTAACTTGCCTTCAACATTTGCACCTAATGTAACAAGGTGTGCAATACAAAAATCATAAGTTTCTTCAATTTCAGCAGCTCTACTTGCTAGTGCTCTAAATGTTGTCATCAATGTCTTATACTACAAGGCTTGTTGGAATTTCACATCTACTTGAATGTCATTCCTCTTAATGTCCTTCACAGTTTCGGCTCTTGCTTGTTTGGTCCACCTCTTTAGAATGTATTGTGGAGGAACCTCTTTCATCTTCAATATGTCTCTAATAACCTTCAATGAGTGACAACACAAGATTTCTTCCCTTTCAAACTCTGTACAATTACAACTGAAAGAGCCATCCCTCCCCATCTTCAATTTCCTTGCATGTTTGTTAGCAACATCAACAACTGTGTAAATGGTACGAGCATCGCCATATTCAATTGCTTCTATGTCTGATTCAATGGATCGAAAGTACTCATTTTGAAATTTCTCAAATATCTTTTTTGTGTAGACATTACCCATTTGAATTAACATTCTTATTGTTGCTTTCACCTTTGGCAACCTTTGGCACAAAGCATATCCTACTTCTAACTCCTTGCATCGCTTCTCGTAAAGTACCCTTTTGAAATGCATGAAGAATTCATTTAAGTTAAAATCAGAACGAATGTAATCCTTCAAAAAAAGCATTAAAAGATTCATTAAGCTGTGATATACTCATTCCCGCAGCCCATGTTGATCTAACATATGGCCAACCCCATTTTTCTTTTACCACAAAAGTCAATTTCAACCAATGGTTTTCACGCACATCATATTTATCAAGCATTTCCGCCCACTCTAACTTCCATTGATTTGCATCTTCAATGTCAAAGAAGAATTTATTTAGTAAACCCTTTACCCCCTTATCTTAGAACAAACAATTAACATGTTTTAATGCATTTTGCATCAAATGCCAATTACACAATCGGTGACTTGTGTCAGGCATAACGATAGGTATGGCTTTAGCCATTATAGCATCTTGATTGCTGAACAAAGTTTTTGGTGCCTTTCTTGACATAGCCTCTAGAAAATTTTCAAACAACCATACAAACGATTCGGCGGTCTCATCATACAACAATGTTGCACCAAATATAACTGTTTCCCTATGATGGCTGAATCCCACAAAAGATGCAAAGGGTCTATGTTCTTTGTTTAACTTGCAAGTCGTATCAAATGTGACAACATCACCAAATTGGGCATAATCCACGATCATTTGTGCATCGGCCCAAAACATATTGGTTATTTGCTCCTCATTATCTAATTGAAAAGCATAAAAGAAGGAAGGATTCTGCAAAGATTTTTCTTTAAAGTATTGCAACACATTGCCTACTTCCTCATATGTTAAACTTTGTTGTCTTTTGGTTCTCAAATAATTTTTTTGATCTAATTTTGTAAACCCAAGACATTGCCTCCCACCAGCTTCCTTACCCATGAGTTCAAAAGACTGGCCTAAACGAAGACCAGATTGTGCCGCCAAATCTAACTCAATTGCTTGGGTAGTCGATATCTTTCTTTGTGATGGCAACGTGTGGGCACACTCTGGTGATACAAGATCATGGTTATGTTTTTCTTTGAAATTAGTCACAACAAATCTCCCAGTACCCTCATCTAATTTAACATAAAGTCGAGCCTCACAACCAGTCCTAGTTTCAGCTCTAGGATTTTTTGCCAATGGGTCTCGTTTGTCAACCTTCCGAAATCCCTCCTTGTTGCAAACCAAAAGTCTACAAATAAGTTGGTTAGTGAACTTGTTCTTCCTACAAAAATCCCTTCTTATGCTAAACCCGATTCTTCCTCCATATGTATTATAAAAACCATACACACTTTGTTCAGAATCAAATGTCATTCCATGTTTTAGCTTCCAAGCACAATCATTCTCAGGTTCCATATCCATATTAAAATGCAACTGAAAACCCATATAAATAAAATCTTAGCTACATAAATAATATATTTATTTCATAGACAAAAGAAAACAAGAACAAATCAATTAAAGTGTCTAAGAAATGAGAACTACACAAAAGTTATGCAATTAAGATCAAATAATAAATCAATTAAAGAGACAAAAGGTATGCAATTAAGATCAAATAAGAAATCAATTAAACTAGAAACAAGAAATGAGAACCATATGGCCAGCCCCAATTAAGATCAAATAATAAATTAATTAAACTATATAATCCCAAACTCCAACTACTTGGTTCTCCTTCAAGTGTCTAAGAAAAGGTATGCAAGCCAAGTACCTTTGGTAACAATGATTCATAGGCAACAAGAGTCGTTTAGTTTTGGGTTGGGTCATTACACAGGGTTTGGCAATCCTATTGTAGCTCAACGGATACAAAATAGCATAAAAATACAATTTGTCACCTTTAACACTGAAATTGAATGTATAACAAGTGAATTGCATGTATAACAAATAAAAATACAAAATATTAAATCAATTATAACAAGTGAATTTTTTTATCTGTCTATAGGTTCACATGAAATTGAATGTATTTCATTGACACAGTATTTTTAACACTGAAAAACCATTGAAATACACAATGTTGATTGTATACCATTGAATGCATTTCATTGGATGTATTTTTAACATTGAATGTATTTCACTGGTACACATTTGATTCTGAACAATCATACAAATAAACAATATTTTTAACACTGAAATACCATTGACAGTGTAAATTGAATGTATTTCATTGTTATTACAGACATACAATGAAGACTATGTTTTGTTTTGTTTCAATTTTTGTCTCTGTAATTGCAGACAGAGACAATGAGGTTAGTCTTCAGCCTATACAGTGTAATTACAATGAGGTTAGTCTTCAGCCTCATTGCAATTACAAACAGAGACAATGAGGTCAGTCTTCAGACATCAATGTTATTACAGACATCAATGGATTCGGTTTGGGGAGTGACGGCAAACCAATTACAGAGACAGAGACAATGGAGACTAACATTTGGTCGCTGTAGCGAGGGTCTGCCGGTGAGGTGGAGGAGAAGAGCATGATGGCTCTGGTTTGCCAAGTAGACAAAATCTGTAACGGCGTCGAGAGTGTTTCCCCGTCGTCGGATCTACAACGGCTGAGACTGGGTCGCCGGTGAGGGTGGATTCGACGGAGAAGAAGGAATTAGTGTGTTTTTGTGAGTGTGATTCCAAACCAAAATCTGTAGAACCAAAATCTGTGTAGGCTCTGTTCTGTGTCTTTGGGTGGAAAGAAAATGAAAATTCAATTTCTTTATTTATTTTTTATTTTTTTATTTTTTTTATGGCCTTTGCTCAGCCGTTGCAAGGAGGATTGCAAGGAAGGCTTGCAAGGAGGGGATCCAGACTCGTTTGGAGGATCAAGAATCCTCTCCTCTAGTCTAGAGTAGAAGGTGTGAAATGGTGATTTCTATGTTTTTAAAAGAGTATTTGTAATAAGCTCTTTAAAATAGATACGTTGATTATTATTTATTATTTCCTCCATCAAAATAGTTTTTTTTTTTTTTTGAGAACTTAACTTTTTTTAGTACAATTATTGTACTTAGAAATATTTTAATCTTTTAAAATTACTTTTTGATAGTATATTTTTTTAAGAATATCAATTATCATAATTGTATTTTTTGTGTTATTAATGAATTTTAAAAAAAATAAGAAATTCATATTATTTTAGTCCTTAATTTTTGAAAAGAGACTAATATTTTGGGACAATAAAAAATAGAATAAAGGATTAATATTTTAGGACGGAGGGAGTAACTATTTTAATAAAAGTTTTTTAAATTAGTTATATTTGGAGAGTTTTAAAATATTCTTTGTACAGTTTAAGTAAATAAATAAGTAAAATAAAGAGCAGTGTTAAAGCACATAAATAAAAATTTAATTAGATAAAATAAAAAGCATTCATTTTTTATACTTTAGCAATAAAAACTAAAAGGTAGCGTTGGAGTTACTCTAATAATTAAGTTGTTGCCTAACGTGTAAAATTCAAGTAAATAAAATAAAATAAAAAAATAATAAAGGTATTGTTGACATCATATTTTAATTTTCATGTCGATTATGGCCAATTAATTGTGATCAAATCTAATCTTATTGTGGTCTGTCAATTCAAATTATTAAATATAATAACTATATATTCTGTCTATCATACATGTCATATTATATTTATTAACATATTTAGATTTCTCTCCTTTTATATAAAGGAGTCTTGTATGCATTGTTATAATATTCAATATAATATTCTCTTTCTCTCTCTTACATATTGTAACATCGTATCAGAGTTATAGATTAAGCTCTTGATGTTCTTTGCCTTACTGGCGGGCAGCAACTTTGCTTTGGCCGCCTGCCGAATCTCAGCACATTCCACTGCTATATTTTCCTTTCAGTCGCATTTCTTGATGATCTTTTTTGTTTGCTGGTTTATTTCTATCCCAAATATCTCTATCATATTTTTTTTACTCGCAAAATTTTATTTTATTTTTGGGTGTGCTTTTGCTCCACCCTGTCTTTCCTTTTACTTCAAATAAGTTATGTGTGTGTCACATTTGCTGGTTGGACACCCGTTCTTCTTCTACAACGGTCCAACATGACCATACACTGTCTCCTGCATTAACTTTGACATTTGATCTATCTCAAGCACCCTTGCGCTCTCATTTGAACTTTGCAATCTATTTACCTCGGATCTATCCATGTTTTATTTATTTTTTAGTTCTGTTTCATGTTTAGTTTCTCTCTCTAAACTTAAATTGGTATCCTTACTTGAATTTGAGGGAGTGTTAAATATAATAATTATATATTTTGTCTATCATATATGTTATATTATATTCATTATCATATTTAGATTTTTCTCCTCTTATATAAAAGAGTTTTGTATATATTATTACAATATTTAATATAATATTCTCTTTCTCTCTCTTAGATATTATAACACAAATCATAAATTATTTTTTTTTAAAGTGATTATGACCATATTATTATTATTATGCAAGTCATATCTTAATAGGAAAATGTTATGGACCTCAAATGGATTACCAAATATTTTATCAAATCTTTCACATGGGTGTGAGACCTACAAACTTCATATGTATGTAGGTCCCACACCTATATGAAAGATTTGATAGAACATTTGATAATTTGATTGGGGCCTCTAACATAACTCATCTCAATAACATATTGTTTGCACCCATTTTGTAAATTGTCTGTCGATATAAGCAAAGCAAGCCATGAGTGACACATGATGGTGGTCTTGACAAATCATGAGTTTCAAATTGAATGGCAAAAAAAGAGCACAAATACGACACAGTTATGGTCAATTGATAATGTGCAAATTTTAAGGAAATGGAGAAAATAATCTTTCGAAAAAGTAGAGGAAGTTACTATATTGAATGATACGTGACTTTGATCAATAGGCAAAAGTGGTGACTGTTTATGATAAACATTGTAGAAGATGGCACATGAATTAAGAAAGCTGTTTTTGAGAGTCTTTGCCTATAAATAAGAAAAAGAAAACAATCAAATCAAATCATTTATACATCGTGATATTAGTTTCTAATTAGGAATAGTCAAATTAGTAATTATAAGAGTAAATCAGTGATAACTTTTTTCAACTCCTATTTCTTTTCTTCTATCAAATTGATGTATTTTTTAATTTTTATTCTTGTTTAAGTTCATGTAACTTGTAACAAGTGATAATTTATTTAAATGATACATATTCTATTTTGTTCTAGTTTTTCTTCTTCATTTAACTACTTCTAAAGAAATCTTTAATCTGTTTAAGGTATAAAACTCAACTAAAGTTTGATCTTTTGTGTTTGTTAAACTAAATTTTTACTAATAGATATTGATAGCATAATAGGTATTAAATCAACCGAAAAGACATGATATATGACTTTAATAGACCTGTTTAAAACTTTGTTTTAGATAATAGTATAGATAATTAGTGTTTCTATATGTAAATGCATGTATTATATAAATATTTGTTTAATATAGATTTTTTTCATAATTTAATTTATGTGTAAAATAAAATTGTATTAACCTTTATTAATGTGTGATAACTACTAAGTGAGATTAAAAGGTAATTTAGGAATATAAATTTTCACTTGGCATATGTATACGCAAGACTTCAAGATACTAAGGCAAGTCTTTAGATAGATAAAGATTCAGCAATGATTCATACCACTAATTTTGGTGCTCTAATGGAGCACTAATGACATGGCAATAAATAAAAAAAATAAAATAAAAATAAACCAAGACCAAAACATCACATCAGTGTGGGTGGAGCCAATTGCCAACTCATTAGAGCTACCTTTAAAGCTCAAAAATTAGAGCTCCAAAGCATTTTTCGTAAAGATCTAATTGTTTCCGCAATAGCAAAGCTTAATGCCAAATCAGGTCAAACATCCCCAAAACTAGTCACAGGATTTTAGATTGAATTTTTTTTCAAGTTATGCTATGAATTTGAACGGATTTGAGAGACTCGTAAGAATAAATGATCACTAGTTGGAACATAAATACTATAAATAATATTTTTTATTATAAAAATACTCCTATTATAAATTAACTTTTAATTCAAAATTTAAAATCATATGCATTTTTTTTATTATTTATTTTTTTGGGGTTAACATTAAGAAGTTGTAAGATATTAACTTATCTATATAAAATAACAAAAATCTTACTTTTTAAACGTATCACTAAAAATGGCAAAAAGAAAAAAATTATTATAAGAAAATCATAAAGTTAGATTACTTACCATAATTACTCACTCTCCTTTTAGTAGCAGTGAACCCACGCTATACACACCACGAAATGTATTTTTTATTTATTAACATTTTTTTTTTTTGGTTGTGTATTCTATAAAAGTGCAAATTGAAATATCAACAAATTCATTTACATCTGTTTGATTTGCTCTTAATTTATTAGCTTGC